TTGTTTGATCGATACTTTACGAGAAATCTATCAGTGCAGCCATCTACTGAAAAAATAATGGATTTCTTTTTCCCCAAACTAATATATATGATATTGTAGCTTCTTTTATTGAACTCGAGAGAAATAAAAGTGAATTTAAAATTTATTGAAATATTGAAATATTGAAGAGCATCACATTCTTCTCCTTATCTCTTTATTACATAATCTTTCTACATATAAAACTTAAATTTCGGCATAAAGTAAAGAAAAATTTTCTTTAATTGCATTTCCCTCTTTAAATGCCTCGCTTCGAGTTTTATTAAGCGTTTAATACGATTTCATTTGAGGTTCTCTTCTGCGTTAAGCTGCAATTAGTGAGGAAATGATTGAAAGTTTTCAATCAACTGTAAAGTTAAAGTGCAAGAAATTTACCATACATTGATAGACAGTGTACACGCACACACAAATAACTAACGGCTAAATTGATTTCTTAGTATGCCCTGAAAGTGAAAAATTGATTACTTTATGTTTAGGCAGCAAGCAGCCTTGATTTGCTTACAAACTTATAATCAAGAATTAGTAAATCACTTATGTCAATGCATCCGTTCACATAGATAAAAATCATTGCATATTAATTGCTTAAATCACCCTATAATTCGGTTAATCATTAATTTTTGATGCATCAAACTGCACGGAACGCTAGAGTATATAACGTAACAGTGGAACTCGACAAATATGGTGCGAAATATTGCATTAAAACTGCTGGTAGAAAATGCGGTCGATGTAGATTTATTGAGAGACATATTCAGAGCAATATATATAGTTACTTTTGAAAAATTAATTAAAAAGCTCGTAACTCTACAGAGATACACCCTCAAGCCCGTAAAACTTTAAGAGAAGCGTAGAGTTTTTTCAAAAAGACAATGATATAATTTTTTTTTCGAAAACAAAACAAACACACACAAGTAAAATGACCGGAGTCACAAAAAAGAGCTACCGCTGCCGTTTTAGTTAGTTAGCCACAGAATGAAAAGATTATATTGAAACCATCACCGCCGCAAAGTGCTGCGAACTTTTATACGAAAACGGCATGTTCGGGTGAATGCATTAATGACGATACCAAACGAGCTAGTCAATCCGATTGCTAGCCTTAGCACATTGGCCTACAGACTACCAATTCTAATGAATCGTTTGCGAATATTTAAAATTGAATCTTATTGCGCAGCCACCACTGGTTCAGCTCTAAAAAGGGTAAACGAAATGAACCAAACTCGATACTCTTTAAAGAGAACAGCAGGTTAATTTGAAGATCGAGAAAAAAAACAACGAGGGCAATTCTATGAAAATTGAAAACGGAAATTCAAAGTTTCCGAAGTAATAGCAAGTGATCGAAGACAAAAAGCACTAAAATGAAGGAAAAGATAGGATAGATAATCAAACCTATGACGATTCTGATAGTAATCGAGACAAAGACGAATGAAAAGAAAAGGTGACTAACTAAAACATAATAGATGAAATATCTAATTACGACAGTGGGACAGTAAATGCTAATAATTTAGCGCCTGACTGCTTTTACGTGCACGTTTGTGATCACTGTAAGCTTTCATCGACGTCAAATAACTAATGCGAGTTGTCTATACGTATATGAAATGCACATAAGAATCAAATACTACAGTTGCATAATTGCACTAAAAATACTAAATTTAGTTCCGACATTTGATGGAACAGAAAATTCAAAATTTCTTA